GTTTTGAGTTGATATGTGTTAAGCAATGGGAAATGCAGATTTGAATTGTTAGCCTATATAAATATACCGTACAATAGTATTGTACAAGAAGGTTTAAAGTATCCCCTGTTGTTGTTTGTGTAAATACTGTATAGGAAATTGAATTTGTCTGACTTCCAAAGAAAAGAGTTATCCCGCAGCTGTAGCATAATCTTGTCATGTTTAACCCACGTGAACATTTGAAACGAGAGAAAATAAGAAATTTCAGAAGAGAATGCATAGAAAGGAGAACACTAAATGTGACATATGCGTCACATTTCCCATTTCTGTGGTAGTATGGATGGTAAATGTACATATATAAATAAACCTCACAATATGTCCAGATTTTTTTAAAGAATTGGGAAGCCTACTTTTATATTTAATAAAAAAGTACCAAAATATTCTGAAGTATCTGTTGCCCAAAATGATTGGCAGGTGTGCTTAGGGAATGTGAATTTGCAATCATGTTAGTGATATAATATTCATATATACCCCAACTCTCCTTTTCCCAAATTATGAAGATAATGAATTAAATTAGTGTCTTGATCTGCAACATCTGGGATTAGGAAGTGCAGTGTGATATCTGACAAGTCCACAAATTTATGAAGCTTCTACATAGGGTGGTTAACGTGTGTGGAATTGGTTCAACTCAGTAATAGCAGAATATGTCATTTTTTTCGATTACAAGGCAAGGGACGTAGAGTCATGCAGTCCGTCATCTTTTGCACTTGTAAACTAACATGCACACATTTTTTCTCGCGTTTAGCGGCTGGAAAGTTTTCTTGTAGGCCTTATCTTATAGGGAAGGTATTAGGTCACCTTGAGTACCAAGAAGTTATCGGGAAAAAAAAAACAAAGTTATCTACTATTAAATTCTAAACTAAATGGAGTTTGCATGTGATCGTATTTGTCACCTGCCTTTAAGGCGCGGGTCAACTAGCATTCTTTACGCCCGGGACCCCGAGCCATCTCCGTCCACCCAGCCAGACTGCTTCAACTGGAAAAAGCCTCCGCGCCGGTCCGAACTTCCACAAGGATTGACCAAAGTCTATATAGGTATAAACCTTGGGATTGATTGAGCTATTCCTGGTGTCCAAACCCTGGCTTTTTGTGCTCTGCTGTTCGAGGGAGAGCTAAAAGAAAAAGAACGAGTGACACTGTAGATATGAAGATATGTTATGTATGATTCCCCCAAGTAACAAATGGATGATTATCACAAGATTAATTAGGACTTAAGACAATAATAACATCTTTACTTTCCGATGTTGCCAAATAGTGAACCGAGCATGAAATCACCTTACCACGTGATGTTTGCCACTTGCCGCCTGAGATGTACCACTTTGGTGTGAAAGCGGCTTCAAATCAACTGCTTTCCTTGTATCCTTGCCAACATTAATAAAACAACAAAGAAAAGAACACGAAAACAAACGAATTTGTATTCTTGTTCTTCCATTCATTGTTCAATTCACAATTTGTTCAACACACATCCGTTGCTTGTGCCCTTGAACTAAAAAATGGCTAGCATTTCCCACTAAAACTTTTCCTTGGTCCCTAAATTGCATTCTCAGTGTGAAGACAGTACTGACAGCAGGATAGTATCTCAACTTTCGCTGGTCTCAAGAAAAGTGGGGGCAGAGTCCATATAAATAGAAAGATCTTGGTAAATCAGCCCAAAAGCGTGAGCAGTGAACCAGGACAAGCAAACAGTACAAGCAGTGAAAACAGGGCAGAGAGGGAAACAAACGATCAAATTTACAGTTTTGGAAATCTAACCATTGTTCCGAACACGGTATTGTGTTTCCTTGCGACCAAGAAGTTGTGGGCGAGGAAGAGACTCTGTGAACAACTCAAAAAACATTACGCTCCCGAGGACATCGCGAAAGTACGTACCATTGTAATCAAACTGTCCGAAGCAAGACGACCCAGATTCGCAACTCGATGCACGAAAAGAATGATCAGTGTAAGAGTGCATACCAGAAGAACCCATCCGTCCAAAAACAAGGAATCTCTATGGTTTTCATTTCTTTTTTATAACCAAAACGAAAAGTAAGGCTACTCAAACATCCACACTGCCGGTCGATCCCACGTCTAGCAATGACTGGGAAAGGCATAGGAGCCAAAACAAAATCGATGCGTTGGTGGAAATATTTACGAAACAACAGGCAACTCTCAAAACAACCTCTTTAGAAAATAGGAATGTATTGGCGTGGCTTTCTCCAGCACAGAAGTCTAGCCGCATTAGTTGTGTGTCCGACACATCTTCCCTCTCTCCTCCTCCCTAGCAAATTCGTCCCCACAGTGCAACCGAGCCAGACGCATCCTACTTCCAGCCTTTTCCCTTTTGCTCTCCGATCCACCTCCTTACCCCCCCCCCCCCATCCAACTCCCAACCCACACACCTAACCCACTCTCTCATCTCCCCAACCCCCCCACTGAACCCCTCGCCAACCCCCGCCCTA